AAGTGCTTTCTCTAGTGCAATTCGTAATTTATGAATTATAGAACTAATGGTGGGCTGATACTTCACATTAAATAAAATAACACATGCGGAGCTCCGTGGGGCACAGGCTGAGTGAGTGTGTGTGTGCGGATTGGTCCATTTGGACCAATTGGTTCATTTGGACTTAGTGACGTCAACCTGCCACGGAAGAAAAAAGTGGAAAAAGAAAATTCTCCAACGAGGCGCTCTGGGGCAGCATAGACAGGTATTTTCTGTGTTAGAGTTTTACTTGCTACAGGGTGTACTTTGAGGGTTTGTGACTTTGCAAACTGTTTACATGCAGAAAAACCGGAAAAGCATATGAGGGGACCTTTAAAAGTAAAGTTTGATTTATTATTTATTCTGTTTTTAATTAGGCATAGAACGTACCCATAAACCTGCAATACTTTACTGATGATTGTTGTGCCTTTGTGGAACAACATCATATCATTAAAACATACTTATGTTAATATAGCTTAAGTGCTATAGGACACAGTTGATAAATTACACATTTAGCAGTTACAAAACAACGTAATTATTTGAAATCTTGCTTCAGGTTGCTTAAAGTCACACATCCACTCTTCTAGTTTGGCTTTGGTTTGGTCCCAACCAAGTCCTGAGGGAAAGGTCGTCACTTTAGCGGCTAAATGCTTTACTTCTGTATCTATTACTGGTCACCAGCTAGTCGCTAACTTTGTCAGATTTCTGTTTGCTCCTTGGCAGGAAGTGTACAATGTGATCATTCATGCCCAAAATGAGCTGCCTATTTTAGCTTAAAAATCATGCTCAGAGATCTGTGAGAACGCACCAAAACACCAACGCTTCCAGACCAAAACAAAGAGCTAAGGATAGAGCTGAGAAAAGCGGTGGCTTTAGCGACAAACATCACCTCTCAGCTGATAACTGGGATAAAGTGCAGGCAGCAGCTGGGAAGCAGAGTGTTGACTGGAAAACCACTGGGGTGAATCTCTGGCTGACTGAGAAAATAGGGGTTGGGTAATTGAATGGAAAACACTCATCATCCACCATCAAGGTTTCCAGTTGCTCCACTGTAGCGTCTCAATGACTGACTGCAGGAAACTGTGGCTTCAAGGCTCCCTGTTGTGCTTTTTGTCAACTACCTGTAATGTGCTCAACAGTGTGTGAGAGGCAGGATGCCGCAGTAAGAAAAATGCGTTTGGATCCAATAAAAGATTTCAAAAATGCTCCAGAAAGTTTATTGTGATGTTGGTTGGACCATCTGGAACTGATTATCAACTTCAGCGAATTTGACAATTAACCAACTCAACAGGCCTTAGGAGGAAACCGATTAAAAAACAATTGGCATCAGATTTTCAGAATTATGGGAAAGAGTAAAGTGGCTCTGTGGAAAGTAACACTGATCCTCAAACCCACCCACTCTAAAACCACTTCAGCTTGGGTGTTTAGGAGCCACAACTGGAGCAGTTTCCACTCCTACTGAGCGAATGAAGAGTCATTTATCAAGCGCTTGTTGACCTACCCTTTTTTTGTTCCCCATCTGTGGACTCCCCTCTGCCATCTTAAGTGGTATTTCGTTTTAGGTTTAAGTACAATTTGGGAAGCTTCAGGATATAAGAAAAGTCGTGTCGCATCAATAACAATGAGTGAATGATTGATGGATTTATATCTGTATCCTGCATAATGAGACTGTATACAAGTAATGTATTAACACTGGGATGATAAAGGTAAATGGACTGTACTTATAAAATGCCTTATCAGGTCTTTCCGACCCCTCAAAGCGCTTTACAAGTCATTCACCCTTTCACACCTCATTCATGCAGAGCAGTACCATTTGCTCAAGGGTAGCTAACATTCATTCACATTGACACACCATTGGCCATGCGTTCAGGAGCAACTCAGGGTTAAGTATCTTGCCCAAGGATACATCGACACGTTGACTGCACGGACTGGGATCGAACCCACAAGACGACCATACTCCCTCGCAGCCACAGATCGGTTGATCTAGTTGTTTTCATTAAACTAGCTCATCTGGAAAATGTATTTTTATGATAAAGAAGAAGAGACTGTCATCAGTGAGCATGAACAGACTGTCCTGCACCAGTCTGTCTATCCTATTACAATATGCATTATACCACAATCCAATTTTAAATCATTTTTCAACAACTTAACTGTAACTGGACTGTAAGCTGCTCTCCAAGTTATCACTAACGGCCCGTCCACACGGCGGCGTGCGTTGAAGCTTCAAACGCTCCTGCCCATTCACTTTGAATGGGGTGACGCCACGCTTCGCCGAACTGCATTGTGGGAGCGTCGTTTCGCTTTGCTCGCGTTGCGCGCTTCAAAAGTTGAGCAATGTTTAACTTTTGAAGCTTCGACGGAAGCGTCAGCCAATCAAATCATATGCCAGTACAAGCTCTAGCCAATCAAACCGCTGCTTGTGTGTCCGGGACGGGAGCTTCATGTGATTGGTTGTTGGTCGAGCTTCACACGCCCGCCGGCAAGCTTCAACGCACGCCGCCATGTGGACGCTGCGTCACTGTATAGTTATGGTGCAACACATTATTAGAAACTAGAGAAAGTGAAGAAGGATTGGCTGCAATAACAACCGTTACAACAGCCGTTACTTCAACCTTAGCTGCAACCATTGCTGGAGTTTTGAAGCTGATACGGAAATGCCAGAGAAATCTGGTCAGGATATATTAGCCAATTATTCCGTTTACATACACATATTTTTGATAACAAGCCCTTTAATGTGTTCTTTAATTAATTGTGACCAAGCCATGCACCGAGTAAGACATTTTGCAGTTAAATATTACCCTTGTCAGTGCTATCTGGGGGACAAACTATTTAATGGTGTTTTCTATTTCTAAATTACCACAGTGAGCTACAAGCAGCAGGGTTTTGGGAATGTTATGACTTAATTAGTGAGCTGACGGAGGAGAGATGACAGGAAATGAGAGGAGAGCGAGATGCAACAAACAGTAGTTCATAAAACAATGTCACCGCGCTGTTCTTTGGGCTTTCAATCATAATTCATGGTCTAATTGACAAACCTTATGATATCTTGGTTAAAGTTGACGTGCTTTAAAGGATCTTGAGATATGGTTAAACAATCCAGAACAACCACTGGTGACACATTTAGAGGTTGAACAATGAGTTTATAAAAGGCCTTGGAAATACAGAACAAAGAAAGAAATTAAACGGGCCCTATTACACTCTTTTGCACCCCTTTTCACCCTTTTGTGTGGGAGAGAGAACTTTGGGATGTTAGCCTTTGCAGACCATTTACATGCACGAAAACCTATATAACACTGCAGGAAAGGGAAAACCCCAGAAAACCTAATAGGGCCCCTTTAAAGGAAATGACGACTTCGGTATCCAAATGATTTGACCTTAAACATACCAAAAAGATCACGTTGTATACTCCTGTGTTTCCTCTACAGCAGCCTCTGCTCCCGTCATCTCCTGCAGGTGCATTCAATGATCTAGAAATTCCTCTAAGATGTTGAATGGGGAACAATTTTCAAGTGAAAGAAGAAGAGTGGAAGCAAGGGACAACACGTAAGCCTAATGAAACGCATCCTATAATTCTCCTTTACTCCCAAGGTTCGAAGGTAAATCTTCCTCCACTTCTCTGCACCTCCTCTTCCTCTCTTGCTTCTTCCCTTTCTGTCTCTGGCGGAGCTCCCCGGTGTGTCTGCAGTAATCTAGTCAGTGTCAGTCTCTCCCTCTGCCCTCTGAAAACCAATTAACCCTATCAGCCATATCAGAGTATCATCAGATAAATCCATCGCTGCTCCCTCTGCGAGTGTGTGTGATGAACATATAACTTTCTCCTGGTCACCGTAAACACACACACACACACACACACACACACACACACACACACACACACACACACACACACACACACACACACACACACACACACACACACACACACACACACAGTTGCCATGGAGATGGATTTAGGCCCAGCCACAGCTCTGGTTGAATGATTGTCAGCAGAAAGTGAGTCAGTTTGTGTGTATTTGAATGTATTGTGTGCATGTCAGCGCACAGTTTTAGTGTTCGTACGTGTGTGTGTGTGTGTGTGTGTGTGTGTGTGTGTGTGTGTGTGTGTGTGTGTGTGTGTGTGTGTGTGTGTGTGTGTGACAGGGTTTATCAGTCTCCAGCAGATAGACAGAGGCAGGGCCTCTCATCCTATCATTTGGCCTCGCTTTAAGAGAGACCACAGGAGAGTCAGAGAGAGATTTCACCTTATCTCACTTAATGGAGATTGAGTTGCATGTGGCTTCCTGTGTGGGCGTATGAGCATAATGTATCAGAGGAAAAGTAGCTGACCTCCCATCGACCCGCAATTGTCCAATCATAGCTCAGCAATCATAGACACAGCAGGTCCGTCATCACCAAGTAACAGTTTCCCAAAAAATAAGAAAATACAATTGTTTTCTTCTACCTGCTATTTATCATGCTAGATGGTTTGATTGTGAGTTGCAGAGTCGTGGAGATATTGGTTGAATACATATCTTCCTATTCCTGAATATAATGGAACTAGATAGCATTTGGCATGAGCAGTTGATATAGGAACTATTTTCCGATACAGATCTACACACATCAACCGTATCACTACGCAAAAGGAAGGATGCATCATGGACAGGAGGCTCTGAGTCAGCAAACGTTACAGCTCAAAGGAGGATGACGCCATTAATGTTTACATCTCGTGCTGCGCATGACCCTGTTGCAGGTGAAATGCAGAACAAAGTTTACAGTTCCCACATGAAGCTGCTTGCAACAATGTGTGTGGATTATCTTAAGTAACCTGGTCATCATTTCTGGATAGAAAAATGTGTGTTTTCAAATATATTTTGTTTCTTGAGAGCGTTGTGTCATCTACAGTAGTTTTGAGAGAATCTCATCTACATGTATTTGAGAGAAGGCAGACATCTCTATGGTCAATATATTTAACATTTTGCAAATATTTTAGAATTTGTGGGAAGATGGTCCTGGATGCTAAGATGTTAGGCTAACGTTAGCATCTCTTTCAACATATCAGACTTCTTATGATTATTTTTATTTCGCTTATAGTCTTGGATTGTGTGAGCAGTTTAAGTTTCTGAAATGAAGAAAATAACTTAATTTAACTTCAAATTCGTGACAGATACTGTCTCCCTCAACTGGTAGAAGAAAACCAGGTGACAGATGAGAGAAAAGGAGGAAGAGAGCTATTGCGTTCATCAGAGCCTTCATGAACATTTGTGACTATATGCACTCGGCCATGCGTTCTTAATAAAAGATGATGATCCCTTCATTCCCCGGCCACCTGGGAAACAGGAGGCTCATCAAAGCTTGATTAGATCCTGCAGTCAACCATGCACATAAACACACACACAAACACACACCAGGCCGTGTATATCTAATTTATAACCTTACAGTCTTCAATCACACTCGCAGCAGCAACAGCAGCATGTTTCCTGCTTTATGAGAGCTTGGCACCGAGCACAAAGAGTGAGGAGGCAGGAGCGTGACAGAGCTGGCGAGGGGCCAGAATAACTAATTTGCTGTAATGACTTTCTGGCAGTCCGGACATGGAGGAGCTCCCAAATGAAGCGAAAGGCCGGGCCACGACGGGCAATTCAATTACTTTTAGTAGTCGATAGATGCAGATCAGGGCAACATCAACACAACAGTCTGAAATGATATGCTCCTCTGCTGAGCTGAAACAATAAGGCAAGTAATTTATTGTGAGTAAATAAGTGTAGGACAAATATAAACCGTCAAGGAACTTTAGTTTTATTGCAAGAATCCTGGCCAAGATGTCCTTATGGAAATAAAAAGTCTTGGGTTGTTGTGTCAAAAATTCAAAGCTGAAATGAAATGGTTGAAGAAGAACCTTTTAGATGTTATGGTCAAAGAAGTGAGATCATTCCCAATAACGAATATGCTCTCTTTTCGTTACATACATCAAATGGAAAGGTTTTATTGATTGAAACGTTGAAATGTACCGAAAAGTTTGAAAGGCCAAATTATTTGAAGAGAACAAAGCTGACATAACCCTAGAAATGTATTCAATGTGTTAACATCAATCACCATGTTGCCCAAACAAGCAAATATACTTTTCATTTGGTTAGAAAATACAGTGTGGTGTAGAGACCACAGAGGGACAGACCAGGGTACGGTTAGCAGCCGCCCTGACATGACAGCATCAGTCAGAGGGAGAGGAGAAGCGACTAGCATTGAACCCAAATAAATCGAAATGACAGCATTAGCCACAGAGGAAAAGGGTCACAAACCGCGAAATCAGACAGAAAGACAGAACCAAAGACTGACGGAGAGAGGATGAAAAAAGTGATGATGATGATTATGACAGAGTGGCTGCCTAGAGTATTGACAGCAAAGGTTAGAGCTGCCCTGCAGGGAGTCGGCCAGTATGTGTCACTCAGAGAAAATGCAGAATTGTACAAAAAACATCCCCATTCCAAAGGAGAGCGTCAGGGAGGTGTAACGCAGGGAATCAAACCCACCCTACAATGTGGAAAATATGGGGCCAGATGGTTGCTGTGGCTTGTTGCTTTGACCTGCTGCGCTAGACCTGCTCTCAGAGACATATGGGGCTTGAGACAAAAAAAAAGAAGAGGGGCACTCTCTAGAGGAAGAAGAGTCTCCCTCTCGCAGCCCGAGCATGCATCATCTCATCTGACCTCTCCAGCATGAAGGGCGCCTCATGCTCAAACTCTAGCAGTCCCAGCTGGACACTATATTCCTGCTAACCACCTTTGTTGCAGTGTTAGACATCCGGCTCTGAGCAGCACTGGCTCATTTCTAACATCAAGCTTACATGGCGGATAAAAGGTCCAGATAAAAATACATGCATATGCAACCATAATGGACACACATTCAAATCCACAAAGGAAATGCAGGTAAGGGTAGTGACTACAATTAGGGCTAAATAACAATAATACAAAGTCACTTTTAGTGGCAGCAATAGAACAAGTAATACACTGGATCTTACAGGGAAATAGTGGGGGAGTAAATATTAAATGATATTAGCATTTCTACTTCCATTTCGCTAAATATGTTTAGATCCACCTGTTGTTATGTCTGTGCACCAAAACAAGCCGAGTAAAAAACGCCAGAAATGAAAACATTTGAAAGACAAGGCTTTTTTATGTTTGGCTGAGGAAGATCATTTGGTTTGCAAAGATATCTGCTCACATTTCTCAGAAAATACAACAGGAGTAAGGGGAAACATGTTTCCGTCCCCCCTCTCCATTCATCTCATGTTAGTCTGCCATCCACGTAACATGCTGCAACTGCACTGAAAGGCTTGAAATGAGCAGCAGCATCAGGGGCTGATGTAACCCGGTTCAAGTTCGTCTACCTGCATCTATATCAGCTAATCACATGAAATATGGGGTACATGTGTAAGGCTAATTGTTTCATTAAAACAGATCTTACTTTAACATAAGATAAGACTTTATTTATCACGGGGGAAATTGCTGTCTACAGCAGAAATACGTGAGAAGAGTGCAGATATTAAAGTCAAAGATTACAACATATCAATTAGGGATGCCAGTGATTATTCGATTATTCGAATATTCGTTACAGTCTCCATAATCGAATATTATTTTTAAAAATCGATTTTATTGATATATTTTTGTTTATGTTTTTTTTTTTTTTCTGGCTTAGTTTCAACCAAAATATAGACTAATGCTAATAATAGTAATAGTATTAATAATTGTAAATGGCCATTGGTCACACCACCAGTTTGTTTTACTGTAAACTTGGAGGAAGCCTGCGTGCAGAGCAGACTGCTGCTGCAGCACGCTACACACCGACCCCGCCCCCACCCCCCCTCTCCCTCACACGTGCGACTAAAGATGAACAAAGCGGCAGGTAAAAAGAGTTCCTCCTCGTGGAACTATTTCGAACGTACAAGTCCAAAGGAAGTTAAATGAAACAAACAACGGAATTCCTTTTGTCTGACTTTTTTTTTCTCTCCCGCGGGGGGGGGCGGTCGGTCGAATAATCGATTATTATTTGCCAGGGCTGCCGAATAATCGATTTTGATCATGGTCAGTTTCTGGCAACCCTAGTACCAGGTAGCATTAGTCGTGTTCACACCGCAGTGCTTTTCCCACTTTAGTTCCGACATAGTTCCGAAATGTCGCGTTCACACCAAAAAGAGCCGGAACTAAAATTAGTTCATCAGAACCTTTTTTACCCCCTTTTCCGTCCCTGCTCGAGAACAGGTACTTCCGTGGGAGAAAAAGGTTCCTGTGTCTGATTGGCTGGGCGGAATGTAAACCACGCCCCGTAAAACNTTTCTGAGACAGTCCTGTATAACACCAGGTGGTGAGCACGGTTATAGCTACCAAAAACTCCACAGGAACCTCTTAACAGTTTGTGATTCTTTGCTAATGTTAGCTATAACCGTGCTCACCACCTGGTGTTATACAGGACTGTCTCAGAAAATTAGAATATTGTGATAAAGTTCTTTATTTTCTGTAATGCAATTAAAAAAACAAAANATAACCGTGCTCACCACCTGGTGTTATATTGGTTGCCAGATAGCATTAGCTTATTGAGCACTTCATCAGCAGCTCCTGAGGAGTTTTCAGCAGGATAACAGTTATCCTGCTGAAAACTCCTCAGGAGCTGCTGATGAAGTGCTCAATAAGCTAATGCTATCTGGCAACCAATATAACACCAGGTGGTGAGCACGGTTATAGCTAACATTAGCAAAGAATCACAAACTGTTAAGAGGTTCCTGTGGAGTTTTTGGATTGCTAAACATTTTATGGAAAATGGAATACAAATAAAGCCTTGTGTTTTTAGTGAGCTGAAGGTCACATGGTTGCAAAGAGATCATATTTGGACATTGTTCCAAAGGGCAAAGTGGTCTGAGTCAATCTACCAACTTTATTTTAACATCTAGGAAGCTAGCGAACAATCAACACAAATAAGGTAATTGACGATAGCCTTTGGCAAAGATGAAATGTTATATTTTAGCTGAGTCATTTCAGGAAGACGACCTTAGCTACTGTCAAATTTAAAAAGAACTATAAGTGTTTTTTAGTCTGAAAATATTGCCAGTGAAAGTCAGGTCACATTAAGTGCTGTTCCATTACCTTAGCACCTCACAACACCTGGCTGCTCTCTCCGGAGAGAGGGTCACCTTGAAGTCCTTTCCACAAAAGCATTTCACAAATTATGCTCTTTAAGGATCTTACACAGTGTGTTATGTTTTATTACCATTATATTCTGTGGATGTTTAAACACTTGTTCCCTGGGTGAGCACATTATGAGTGTGCTACAGGCCGTTTGCATATTTACGGAGGGCACATTTATGCTTGGCCGTGACCTTCTTCTGGCAACGTTAGCACTTTGTTCAGTGAATGTGTTAACATGTTTTGGGAAGATTTAAAGAGAGGCAATATGTGAAATATGACATTTGTAACAGGACACATGAGGCCAAGAACAAGAGGCCAAAAAACGTTTCTACCTGTTTAGGATACAGATTAAAACTTAAATTCAGTGTTTGGTTAGTTTCAGATCTTCCATAAAAAATAAAACTGATATAAAACTTGTAAAAAAAAGCTGATTCTGGAAAAACTGTTTAAGTATTCTTCTACTACTACTACTGTGTCAAAAACACACACACACACACACACACACACACACACACACACACACACACACACACACGCACACACACACACACACACACGGCGCGCACACACACACACACACACACACACACACACACGCACACACACACACACACACACACACACACACACACACACACACACACACACACACACACACACACCGCCCTCCGCATATTGTTGCTGGGAGGAGTTGTGCAGAAACATATGGTCTCATTACTTTCTTCTTGTCATCTTTCAACAGGGAGCTGTCATACTTTTGACAACACATATTCTCGATTTTATACACACATGTACACACAAACACACACACACACACACACACACACACACACACACACACACACACACACACACACACACACACACACACACACACACACAAGCACAGAAGCACACATGAATCAGCCTCTGGTTAGACTTCAGGCGCTGTCATGACACTCGCAGCTGACGTCCGTTCCACTGCACTGGTCTCACGACTTTTGAGGAAAAAATAAAATGCCTGTCTGCCTTTTACACACGCACACACGCACGCACGAACGCACGCACGCACGCACGCACGCACGCACACACACACAAGGCTGCTAAACTCTTCCATCATTTCATTGTTCTTTCTGACCTTCTGTCTTCCCTTTTATTTTATGTATCTCTTATTTTCTCATCTTCATTTTTCATTGTTGATTCTCTTATAAACACTAATATCATGATTGGACATTTATCAAATTACATGTTGTGCTTTTCTTTTCTTTTTTTTTTAAATGACCAAAGCCGAACTTTGGAAACTTCTATCATCAAAGCTATAAATGTAACTTGGTTTAAAGCCGGCTGTGTTCTAAGCACCAGAGGTCTGCTGTACGGTGATGTGGGGATAATGCGGTCCCTCTTCACACACGGTTATTTCATAATGCGTTGAGCAGATTATATGGATGTGGATTATCCATTTAGTGTAGAAAGGCACCCATACATTATCCACTTTAAAACACATCAAAGACACATTAGGAAGAGATCTGATTGCCACAAGAGGTTATTCAAATGTAAATGGTGGTGTGTTTAAACGCCACATATTAAAACCTGAGATTCATGGGTGATTTCAGATTAACATTAATTATGACGCTTGCCCATTTCAGGGTCATTGTTGCTGTTGAGTCCACATTTAGCATAAACACTGTTACTGCAAAGAACCTTTATTTATTAATATGGTAAAAGGAATATTTTAATTGGGTTTTCACTTTACCCTTTGGCAGCCTTAAATATGCTTTCACATAAAGGACTCAAGACATTTATACCTTTTTTCTATATAAAGAAATGCATTTATTTTTCTCTCATCAACTTGTTTAGACAGACTTGCAGCTGAGCAGAGAGTTGATCTTTCTTCTCTCTGAAGGGTCTTGTTTGATAAGGCCACTTATATGACCTTTCACTACTTCCTTTCATAACTCATCATAACTCCTTTTCTCTCCCTCCTGCAGGCTGCCATACGCCGGCTACTTTGGAGGAGTTTCAGGACTCAGTAAAAAACAGTTTCTGAAGATAAACGGCTTCCCCAACGAGTACTGGGGCTGGGGGGGGGAGGACGACGACATCTACAACAGGTGAGAGTGGAGGCATGAAGCATGAGCTGCTGAATCTGCCACTTGATTTCTTCACTAATACGATTTAGCCTCATTCAACCTAATAGATTCCTTTTTAATTTGCCAAATAGTTCAATAAAAGTTCAACTTCACTAACAGCAAGATGCCATCTGTCTGGGTTATGTTATGACAGGGTGTCCGCGGGGTCTTAAAATGTATTAAAAGTTGATAAATAAATGTAGCAAAAATTAAGGCTATTAAAAAGTATTAAACAGCATTTTCCAAGGTATTACATTTTGTAGCTTGTTTTCAATAAGTATATCAATTGTCCAAAGAGAGTATTCTACAGTTTGCTTGAATGTAGGTGTGTAGTGTGATTCTGTGTAGTTTATTTATGGCATCCCGTTGGATTTGACGGCGAAGGTCCGTTTACGCCGGTTGCTAAACAACATCGTTATGGAGAAATGCAAGTTTTCGACCAAATGGTTGGAAGACAAGGAAGAAGGACAATCAATACTGCATATAGTGAATGTGAGGTAAAGTGTGTCGCCAAGGTAACCGGCTAAAACTCCAAGTGGCGATGAGGTCTTAAAATGTATGGAAAGGGTCTTAAAAAAGGTCTTAAAACTAAAGGTATTACACTTGACTTCAGGATTCCTGCATATACCCTGTATAAGCTCCCTGTCAGACTGTCACACACACTCACACACATGAAAGTGATCTCATATGCACATTATTTCAGCCTCCACTGGCAGCGAAATCAAGTCTCTGGACGGAAGTGACAGGGAAGTTCTTGGTGGAGTGGATGATTTATAGTAATCGTTCACCGAAGGAGAATTATTTGCAAATAAATTAACCTTTTGAATCGCTTGAGTGAGCATGCTGAAGTTCACTAATAATATTACTGTTGAAATGTGCAGAAATCTAATCTGATAGAGGATTTCAGTTTGACAGGATGACGGAAAGGTGACTAAAGACTGCTTAAAAGAACCATTTACATCGCCATTAGTTTAACTTATCGTCTATTCAGACGGTTGTTTGGACTGAAAACGGTTGAATTACCGGTGAACTGATGATCTGACTATTAATCAAATCAAAATACAGAGTCATGCATCTTTGCTTGTCAGTACAGAAGAGAAAAGAATCATGAAAGCTTAATGCGGTCATTGAAATATTAAGCATATGACTAATAATACCAAATAAATTGCACCTTAATCACAGTAAGGCAAGGCAAGTTTATACAGCACCTTTCACCATAAGGACATTTAGAGTGCTTTACAGTAGACCTTTTTCATATTTCCCCAAAACTGCTGTGTTTCACGTGAACTCTGCCAGTCCATTTAATATGATATAAATGCCCGCTTCAGATTGCTGAACGGCTGAAACATCAACACAAGATTTTCAAAAATTGCAAGCTGTAACGTCAGATTTTCTTCTAGAGAACATTAATTTTAGTCACATAAACAGATACATTTGCGTTCAGAGGATCCATCTTGAGTACACTAATTATAAACACTCACACACACTCTCACACAGCAGGACTGTTCTTCACAGACAGAACCCACTCTCCATCTTTTCTTCACTGTCGTTTTTATTTCTTTATTTTTCTCTCTGTGTCCCGCTGTCACTCTCACACTGTGAAGCTTATCTTTGTCCTCTGTAATAGCATTATAAGAAAACTGAGAAAAGAGCATTTGGAAATTGGTGTTTTTGAGAATGGACTGTGTCAGTAGACGCGCTTCTCAGAAGATTACAGTTGTTTGTCAGAGTCTGGCAAGATGTGATAAAAGAGGTGTGTGTGTGTGTGTGTGTGTGTGTGTGTGTGTGTGTGTGTGTGTGTGTGTGTGTGTGTGTGTGTGTGTGTGTGTGTGTGTGTGTGTGTGTGTGTGTGTGTGTGCAATTACATGCCTAATGATGACAGATAAAGTGAGACCTCTAACTTTTTATTGGATGATGGCTGAAGTAGGTCATCAGATGCCGTAGATTTCCCTTGAGATGTTTTCTGCAATCAAGCTGCGCTATTTCAACTGCTATGAAAAGTGAAGTGACGTGCAGAATCATAATTAAAATTCCACTTTTAAGACATTTACTTTTACAATTCAAATTAACTTGACTTGTTTACCAAAATATATATTGAAAATGTCCCCCTTAGAAAGACAATGGAAACCCCAACGGACAATCCTCCACAGTCATTTTCTTTTGAATCAACAAGCAAATATGTCTTTGAAGCTTTTCCTTCTTGTATAGTTGTTTTTTTACTGACAGTGGGACCATGTGATATTAAAACTTTTGCTGAACAGTGGAAACTCTGGCTACACGAGGCAGTTACAGGATAATGGCTAATTGAATTTCCTTTCATTTTCCAAGAGTGTGTGGGGTGAGTTGCTTTAATGATGTCAGTGGGGCATCCTGGTGGCGTAAGATTCCATCCATATAACCACTACAGTGTCCTTCTCCTTTATCTCCTCAGCTCTTCATTAGAAACCAAAAGTCTTTCAACTATGATACTCTTATTTTTCGATTGCGTGTGACTAAAACTTTCCGAATATATCATTATCTCTGATTGTCCATCACAAAAAACATCCCTTATAGTGCTTTGAAATCATAGGGAACAAACACTCAGATGTGTCTATCCTTCTGGTTTCAGCTGTGGCCGAAACTCCAGTGGTGCAAAAACTGAAACACACAAAATGTGATATATTGAGTTTTAAGAAGACTGTGAATCTAATGCCAGGTATAATAGAAACAGGATTGACTCCACACTAACAATAAGGTTACCCTCAGTTCTCTCCACTTTCTCTCCTTGTTTTTTATTACAAACTGAGGTCCTGAAAATCCCTAAGTCAATCTCATAATAAATTAATGGAAAAAAACAACAACATTGGCAGAAACAAGCGCATAAAGCTGAGCATGGAGATTTTTTTTTTGCTTTACTCTTAGACTCACACACTCCCCTCCCACCATCCACCCTCGCTTTTCAGGGCTGGCTTGTTTATAAGCCTTTCACAGAGCAATCTGAAGGGAAATGCCCTTGAAAACACACTTTGACAAGCTGTTGGAAGAGACATTGTGTGGAAAGGGCTGTGTGTGGATGCAACTGAGGCTACAAGCAAGCAGAAAAGTCTCCTCTCAGACTGCCAGAAGATTGGGATGTGGAGACGGGTGGTGATGTCATCAAAATGCCCCAACGGACCTCAGGCTGCTGACCTAACCTGCTACAATCACGTCATAGTTTCAATGTGTCCAATACTACTGTCATTAGTGCTAATTAACCAATGCTAGCTTTCTTTCAAGTACTTTCTTTTACATTTCAAGCATAACCTTTTTTTGCGGTCTGTCTACAGTTGAAAAGGTTTTAACAATGAGAGCTGGAGTGGCGTGCAGAGGAGAGGACGGAGTCTCCAGCTGAGCACGCTAACAGGCCGGCTCAGTCTCTCAGGACTCTTTGAAAAAACTCGACCAGGGGAAGATACAGGGATAGAGCCTGTGAAATCTGCCCATTTTGTTTTCTCTGGCTTTAAAAGGGAGCAAAGTTCACAGGTTTGAAACATGCAAGCCGTCTGGTGTCTAGTCGAAGAGTTCTTGAACGTGACACCAAATGTCCACCTGCTCTCTCTTTGAAAGCTGCTCTGGAGAAAAAGTCAACTAAATGACCAAATTGATCTTTTACCTTCTTCTTCAGCTTCTCACCCTATTTTCCCTCTAACTGCACATCCCTTTGTATATCTCTATCTCTTGCTTCACCCCCAGCTATTTCCTTTTTTGCTGGTTTCGATGCCACAGACCATGGCACGGCCACTGCCTGAAATGGCTCCTGCTAGATGAATGCCTTCCCGAGGGAACTTCCTGTCTGTGCTGCTCAGTGTGGCCTGAGCCCGTGGCGAAGAGGACACATGCCACCTACACAATTGACAGTGCCACTTTAACCTACTCCCACCACTGTGTAAAAACGTTGTTGGATATTAAAAAGAGAGAGGAGCGGGAAAGGGGAAGGGGTTACTTGCAGCAGTCGCCTTGGGCAGAAACTGTACCTGTCCCAGGGGCTTCCATAGCAGACCAGACTTCAACACAAACACTCCGCACAAGGACTGCAAGTGTTTCTGGGAAGCCTTGACAATGCTGTTAGAGTCAGGATATTTCTGGCTTGACACGTAGAGGAGGCTGAGTCTTTGATGAGTTAAATCGCATCTTCTGTTTGAGGAGGTCTCCACCCTCGGGTCATTTCAGAAAACACTGGAAAGTCTCAAATCCCTTGTTAGATCTTTCTTTCTCCTTTTTCCTTCTGGATGGCTACGCTTGCCTCGCCATCAATCATATTATATGTTCATATTTCTATGTGTGTGTTTCTCTCTCCACTTCATTTATATATTTGTTTAAAGAGCTCTATTAGGCCCTTTTTAAAGAGGCAAATGCAAGACACGATGGAAAAACTAGGGTGGATCAATATAAGCATTGAGTCACAACTAGGGCTGAACGATTAATCGATTTAAAATCGAAATCGCGATTTGAAATGATGCGATTATCAAATCGCAAAGCCTGCGATCTTTTTTTACATTTTTTTTTTTTACAATTTCTTTTTTTTTTCTTCTTGTGTGTCAGTCATCCACACCAATCAGAAGTGCTGTGCTCCACATGTACCAGCCATTGTTAACCAATCAGAAGTGGCCCATGATAGAAGGTGATAGACAGATTGATCCAATCTTCTGCCAAGTA